CATCAGTGATTATTTCTATTTTGGCTCTACACCAACAGTTAAAAGAATACTGTATGTAACAACAATGGAACCAACCATACAACTATTTAAATGTAATTCAATTATGCTCAAATCCAAGTCTTCGGAGATCCGTGACGTATACAACATTGCCAAACTCTCAGATTGCACATAAAAATATTGGAATGTTTCAATATACTTGACAACCACAATTTCTACTTCAGGTATAATCAAATTATTTTCATTATTTTTTTTCTCTGGAATATTATTTAACTGATTTTCCAAATTTGATTTTGAATGATCGTCAAGTACAATATTCCTCAAAATGGGGCCATTTTCTGACATTTTACTGCTATCAGAAATGTCATGGTGATCTATAGTTAAAATTGTATCCAACAGATCTAAACAATGTACACCATCAAGATGACTTATCAATGTCACTCTGTATGGTTCAGTGATACTTGTTGTTGTCATTTTCCATTTATATTTCATCATCATTTCTGATATAACATCATAATTTAAGGGATCACTAATGTTAGCATCCACAATTTCTTGATCCAGGCAACAGCGAAAATACAATTTTTCATCACAAAAGATACTCGGGAGAACTTTTATTCGTATTGCTTTACAAACGTCTCCATCACTAAAGATGCGAACAAGAAGATATGTTTTATTGGGCATCAACACTTCAGCCTTATACCATAAACCATCGTTTTTATCAGTCAATGCTGCCACTAGTGTACCGATAGGTGGTGGCCGTAGAAAATCATCTAAGTTGTTAGCAATATAATTTAATTGTATGTCCACATTTTCATTATTTGAACCACATTCATCTTTGGCTTTATTTACATAGAACTCGTCATATGATTCAAACCTACTGATGGTAATACACCACTCCATAGTTGACACAGTAGAAGTAATTATTGATTCGTTATCAATGTAATTTTCAAATAATTTCACCACAAGTAGCGACTGAGTACAAGATATTAGCTTACATTCAACATATTTGTTTAAAAGTGTATTAATGTCAACATTTGATACCACTTGACACCGCAAGGCACAATTTGGTATTTTCTGAATTTCACTAACCAATTTAGTGGTTTTTAATGATTTGAAATGTTCACCTGAATCTATTGACAAAACATTTTTAGCACTTCCATCGATATCCAATATCAAAGCTCTGTGCCATTTTTTTGTTATTGAATGTAATGCAGCACATAAGGAACCAATTTCAGTTACAGCTGGTATCATTTTTGATTGCATTTTTACAAGAACATCCGAAATAATCTTTAGCTTATCATTAAGTAAATGTGGAACAATCCAACAGTCACTGTCAGAGTTAATACATGTAACTCTCACTAAACAACCATTTTCAAGGGTTTCCATTAATTTGTTTTGCGACTGTACTAATGTAATTTTGCTTGGTGAAGCATAACGCGTTCCGTCGCTGTCTACATGCATATTAGCTAGGAACATTGTTCTAGACATATTAAATGCCATTGGAAATGTTTTAGCAGTGATGACAAGTGCTGGTAACAATGCTATTTTAATAAGCCCCAAACATTGTAGCTTTTTTTTCTTTATTAGCTTTTCATAACCAAAGTCAATGCAATGTACAACTGCTATTTTGGAATAAATTGATTTAACTACACATCTATAATATTTACCATGGCTTTCAAACATGTTTATGTCTCCCGGTGCTATGGAAGCTTTACTTCCTAATTTACCAGAAAGTTTTGATAGATTTTCAGATATTTTTGCAACCTTAGATATATCTTGAGATCTCTGCAAGTAAGTCAAATCATCATCAACGTGTAAAAATGATATTTTCTCAATTCCCCGAACAATTGGAGAGGAAAATGGAGCAGAATAATGTTCTTTTATATTTATACATAACCTAGAAAATCAAAAAATATTAACTCATGTCATAGTAAATTAACTATTATTATCCAGTAAGTTTTTAATTTTTATAATTTAAATTTCACCGATAACAATAATCTAAAATTAGAATCTCTTTTAATTATAGAATATCATAGCAAATTATAGACAACTGTGCAGTACTCTGTAAAAACAGTTTGGTTACAAAATTAAAAATGTAAAGAGTAGTTTTTCTTGTTTGTATGTGTTTGACAAAGATAACATATGATTAACCTACCTATTTCCAAAAAATATTAAAACATAATTCTAAAATGTGTAACTTACACTCCATTAGGATCGATAGATTTTACTGTTATGTTATACAGTATTTTTTCAGTAATTTTAAAATCTAAGTCTTTACTTTCCAAATAACAATTCAAACAGAGCTGAGGTCTTCTCATTAAATTAGTTGTAATTGGTCGAATCTAAACAGTTTTGAATATATTCTTTTAAAGATTAGTGTATTAAATGTATTAGTCTAGTCTTGATAACTCAAAGTTTTTTTTTTGGTCCTTGAACTGTTTTTAAGATGTGTTTGAGGAGTATATTTCAAAAAATACCCAAGCCGATTTATTTTTATTTCCCTTGAGTCATCAAAACTCGACTGTATAAACGATTAAGTGAAAAATAAGTATAAGAAGGGCTCGGAACTTTCTGCGCTAAAAACAATGGAAAATTGTGTGCATATGTACAATAAACAGTACAAATATGCAATTATTTTTTTATAAAATATGTATTTATAAGGGGATAAACTTAGAAAAAAGCATAATTATTTATTATGTATGGTATTAATCCAGGTACCCCAACGGGTTATGATTATAAAAATATTTTTCTTTTATTGAATAAATGTTAAATAAGACGACAGTGCAAACCATAACAAATTTATAATTAATACTTAGTATAGTATTGAAAATTTGTTTGGTGTTGATTTATAATAAATTATAAACAAAATAATAATATGCATTAATATGATCAAAATCTTAAAATATGTAAAATCATATAAATTTAATAAAATATTCTAAAATATGCAACATCAAATTTTATACTACAACTGTATAAATCATGAAACAAATTTATATCTAATGAGATTTTGGATATTATATAGTTCCGAGCCTTAATTATAAATAAATTAAAACAATAATTTGGATTAAATAAAAAAAAATAAAAACAAATACCTGATTTAATAAAACATCAGTCAATAAACCAATATCAAACATGTTTACTATGATGGACTCTTCATTTATGTTTTTAATATAAGCTCTATACCATTGATCGTTATCGACAGTTGCCAAACAATATGTATTTTCTAAACAATTGATATCCATTGATTCAGAGTCCTGTGCATTACAAATTAAACAAATTGTGGTTGAATTATAGTAATAACATAATCATTATTAACAAGCATGAGTCAACTAACCGGATTTTCATTAATATGTTTTACTATTTCTTCTTCCAGTTCATCGACAGTATTTGGTTCTGGTTGAATTCTGAGTTTTAAATGATAGTTATAAACATATGCGACAAAACTTTGACCTATTAATAGGTTTTCTTCATATGGATTTTCATCTATTAAAATTAATTAACAGTTAAAAAATTATTTTTAATGAAATTAAACCTATAAGGTTATACTAGTTAGGTAGTTTTATATTAAAGAATATGATATTATGATAAATAATAATTTTAGATTCTGAGTGGAACGATGAATGTATTGATTTTGCAATGATGTGTTTTTTTTTTTTTTTTTTAGTCTGTCATCACCTTTGAGGACAGTAAAAATACTTTGGGGGGTCAAAAGTAAAAATTTTCCAGTAGTTTTCCAAAGCGCCGTGAAAAACAAAAGAAAAATTAAGGAAAAACGGGAATTTTTACCCAAAATTTGTTTTTGAGAAAATTGAATTTGCTTGTTGGTGTAACTCTAAAACAAATGAATGTATATACATGAAATTTTCACTGATTGTTTATATTTGTAGTTTCTATACACCATACAATTTTGAAAATATTTTGACTCTTTTTGAGCTGTTTACGGACATTTTCAGTTTTCAATTTTTTTAGTTTTTTTTCTACAAATATTAATAAAATTTTATTTGTCGGGTAAAAAAGTTTGAAAATTTAATGCAAAGCTCCTGATATATTGTTACAATAGCAGTTGAAAAATATTAAAAATACAGTCACAATTTTTTTTTTAAAAGCATTTAAAGATCGAATTTTGACAACATTTATCAAATTTAAAATTAAATTATGGAATTTAAAATATGGATCTAAAGAGAGTACCTATGTAATTAATTGTTTTAACACATTGATGGACAGTATGAATATTATTTTTTAAGTACCATTAGAAACGCAGTTACATACTAATAATGTAGAAGTAGTGATTTTACCACTGTTATAGCAGTTCTTTAAAATTATATATAAACTATTATTTGATTATCTAGTGTTATTCGTTATACTGTGTGATACTATATAATTTTAAATTTACTTAGAACAAAAATGAACAACTGTCGTCAGTAATTATTAATAACATTATAGATAACATATTATTAGAAACAGCTAACACTAACTAATAGAGTAGTACTATACTATTGCCCATCAATATGATTTAAATTTATATTATATTTCCTGGACACAGCAGTTACAACAAAAATTAATTGATTTTTATTTTTGTGCATATAGCGCTGTGTCCAGGATTAGGCCCGAAGGCCTAGTTTGGATGCTTACATGGCAGAATTTCTAATTGGCACCTGTAGGTTTCTGCCATGCCCGGTTGGGGGATGGCGGTCTCACCGTCTAAGCAGTTGCCTGCCCATAGAGCAATGCTGCCCGTGGCCAGGATTCAAACTGGGCGTGCACGTTAGAACCGACGCCTTAGTCTGCTCGGCCGCTCCGTCCCCCAATTTAATTTAAATTGTATTATTATTTAAATCTAGTTGTGTGTGCCATAACATTCACTTAAATGGCTAAATAACATCAATAGTTGTAGTTTTATTAATACTAAGTAATAAACTATTATAGTTTCAAAATAAAATCTACAATATATTATACTATAGAAGATACTCTTAAAAAATTTATATTATTATGAATTTTACCGGTTTTCATAGCAGAATTTAAACGTTGCCCAATTCCAGACTGAAGTATAGTATTCGAAACATCCACATTGGTATCTTTATGAAACATCTGCACTACTTGAGTACCAGACTCATTAGTTTTTAGTAACAGTACCTTATATAGTTGACCTATTTTAAAGTGTGGTTGTAACATTAATGTAATATCAATATTTATAACAGGGAACCACATGTCACTTAATGAGCAATCTATTACTAATTGTCCAGGTACATTACAATCACTTTCAACAAAATTGTACAATAGGATTTTGTCAACATATTCATTGACTACTATATCTCCTTCATCAATCAATTGCAATTTAATCTCTATAAATATATAAATACAATTATGTTTGGCTTAGTAGTGATAACATGTTGAACACAATAATTAAATCGAAGTAACCAACTTTCAATTTTAGAATCCATTTCAATTATTTTAGCACGATATATAGAATTTGATTGAATCTGATAAATAACATACATATTTTCCACAAGTTCACATTTTTTCAAAATATTACGAGAGTTCAAAATACATTTAATGTGGTCCATAAGAGGTTCAAAATTTGGATTGTATTGTCTCACACTAAAGTTAAATGGTGATTTTTAATAAATCAATGAACCAATAATTTCTTGTGCGTCATTTAAAGTTTCTTTCTTTAAAGACATTATCGGGAATATCTAAAAAAAAAATTATATAAAATTATTAACCGGGTGGTTCATTTAATGAAGGACTCTCATTGTTTAAAAAAGTATTTAAGTTTTTGAAAATATTTTTTTGCATGGATTCAAGTATAAAACAAGGTTATTTAAAAAATAATATAATTACAATTCTTTTTGAATAACAACAAACAATTTTAATTTCATTTTCAGAAATACTTAAAAAAATATTCTGCTTTGGAATATGAAATTAAAACTATTTTGTCATTCAAAAAAGTAAAAGTGTTGTTTTTTAATGAATAGAAACTATGTGAAATTTGTATTAAAATAATAATTAATTAATCATTTTTGAAATAATGAGCGGTTCATAGTAAAAAAAATCACCTGGTACACAGTATACGCGTATAATAGATATTAAAAATGATTTTTATTAATGTATGAAAATGTTAAAACATATAACTGAAAACAAACATGGTAAAAGCATTGCTAAAAACATACTAATTTTAAATAAATACCAGGATAATTGAATTTATTACTATGTCTCCTATAAAAATAACCTCAGTGGTGACTGACTTTCAGACCACACCCATAGATTAAATCGGTTTTCGTCATTAGCAGTCGTTTTTTAACCATCAGCCACAATAAAAAAAATTGCTGTTAGTCTTACGAAATGCACGCTAGATGGACATTAGAATAATAAAGTGATGCTTATGAAAGTAAAGCATTCATTTCCGTATTCTAAAGTCCCACCACCACCAGAGGTTACTCTTATATAAGATAATATAGAACTATAGAAAGATGATTTATAGTGTGGTCTAAGAATACATGTTTATATATTATGTATATTGTATTATATTAATAAATTATTTATGAATAATATTAATATCATTGAAAATGCTCTTTTACTTGGAAATGTTGGTACGATTAATGTTTTTTTTGTACAATAAAGTAAATATTATTTATTATTTTAAAAAAAAAAATGATACTAAAAAAAGGTGAACAATTACACTGTTATCATCAATTGTACACCAAAGAGAGTAAGCAGATATATCGAGAATCCAGCCTAAATATCCATGCATTTATTGTTGTTTGTTTACTGTTTTTATTTAATATAATAATTTAATTACTTTTATTACAGTATAACATTATTAATTATTATAACATATTCATGATAAACAAATGTAATAGTTTTAGATTCTGAGCGGAGCGATGAATGTATTGGTTTTACAATGATGTATGTTTTTATATTTTTTTATTTTTATATTTTTATATTTTTTTTTGTGTCTGTCATCAGGTTTTAGGACAGTAAAAGTGCTTGGATTTTCTTCATCAGTAGCTTTTCTGATGATACTTTGGGGGGTCAAAAGTATAAATTTCCCAGTAGTTTTCACAAGCGCCGGGAAAAACAACATAAAAATTAAGGAAAAACGGGAATTTTTACGCAAAATTGGTTTTCCAAAAAATCGATTTTGGTTATTGGTGTAACTTTAAAACAAATGAACGTATATACATGAAATTTTCACTGGTTGTTTATATTTGCATTTTCTATACACGATAACATTTCAAAATATTTTGATTTATTTTGAACTGTTTAGGGACATTTTCATTTTCCATTTTTTTTTAGTTTTTTTTCTAAAAATATCAATAAAATTTTATTTGTTGGTTGCGAAAGCTTGAAAATTTAATAGAAGGCTCCTAATATGTTGTTTCAAAGGCAGATGAAAAATATTAAAAATCCTTAGTCACAATTTTTTTTTATAAGCATTTAAAGTTCAAAAATTGACAAAATATGGAAAAATCACGAAAATTAGCAAATTATTTTGAGTTAAGAATTCGTAAAAATTTTTCTTTTTAAATCTAAGATTTGAAAATGTAATACAAGATTACTCATAAGTTTGTCTACCTTTATCAATAAAAAAATCTCTACCGGAAAGTCAAATTAAATTTTTATGAGCGTATGAAATTCAAATTTTTACAACATTGGATGTTCACTCGATTTCTCATGTAGCGATTTCCTTATTTTGTTGTAATTCAAAAACGAATAACTGTAGATACATGAAAATTTCACTGAATTTTTATATTAGCATTTCCTATACACCATACAATTTTGAAAATATTTTGACTCTTTTTGAGCTGTTTATAGATATTTTCATTTTTAAATTTTTTTAATTTTTTTTTCTATGAATATCAATAAAGTTTTATCTGTTGGGCCAAAAAGTGTAAAAATGTAATACAAGGCTCCTGATATATTGTTACAATATCAGTTGAAAAATATTAAAAATACATAGGCACAGTTTTTTTTTATAAGCATTTAAACATCAAATTTTAACAGAATTTTTCAAAATCTCGAAAATTATTAATCATCATAATTAATAAATTATAAAATGTTCAGTTTTTATAGCTAAGGATTGAAAATTTAAAACAAGATTCCACGTACGTAGTTAATTCTCTTACCGAAAAATCTAAAAAATATACAATCACAGTTTATTTTTATAGTCATTTTATGTTCAAATTTGGACGAAATTACATATTAAAAAACCTAGTTATTTTGTTGTGATTATATAATATTATTTGTGGGTACCTACTTGAAACTTCTAAAGTGTACTATTATATATCTATGATAGTATCAGGGTAAGTTATTGATGTTGATGTATAACGTGTTATAAGTACCTAATGGATATTGTGATAATGTGATATGATTAATTTGGAATTTATTATAGGTCAATTTTTTTTTTTAATACCATAGATATGTATATAATTTGTCTTAAACCTAGACTGACATACCGTCTTCGCTCAGAATCGTTTTTCTTATACAATGATATTGTATCATTGAATTCAAATTTAATAGCATCCATTATACAGTGACCCACTTGTAACCTACTGTACAGCAGAGCGACATCCACTTACCCACCTTTTTTTAATATTATTTTTATTTTTGGGTAATAGAATAACCTAATTACGTGGAACCTTGTTTTACATTTTCAATCCTTAGCTATTAAAGTTAATCCTTTTATACATTTTTTAATTTTTAATTTAATATATTTTGTCAAAATTTGAACTTAAATTGCTTATAAAAAATGTGTGCCTAAGTATTTTTAATATTTTTCAACTGCTGTTGTAACAATATATTTAGAGCATTGTATTAAATTTTCACTTTTTTTGACCCAACGAATACAATTTAATTGATATTTATAGAAAAAAAATCAAAAAAATCAAGAACTGAAAATGTCCGTAAACAAGACAAAATATTTTTAAAATGTTATGGTGTAAAGAAAATACTAACATAAACATTCAGTGAAGAATACATGTATATACAGTCATTTGTTTTTAAGTTAAACTAAAAACCATGATCGATTTTGTCGAAAACTGATTTTGTGTAAACATTCCCCGTTTTCCTTAAATTGTTTTGTCTTTCTCGAATTTTTTTACTTTTAACCCTTCAGAGTACCACAAGATTCACTTTCTCGTCAGAAATTATAAGCATTTTTCCTATCTTAAAAAGTGATGGGACACAAAAAAAAAACATACATCATTATAAAATCAATGAATCTAAAATAATGCTATTTTTTTTCTTTTATTGGTCTTAAACTCTTAACTATAGGCAACTATGGCCATTAGTATTTCGTGAGGGGGGGGATTACTGTTGGTTGGTTGAGGAACAAGCATGTATGTGGGGCGAGGATTCGTCGCTAGAGACCAGAGTGATCACCCATCTGGGGGCTAGTGACATTAGTCACTACGGTCAACCATTCCACTCTACACTAGGTCCTTAAATAAAGCTGTATACAGTGTGATCACGATATTAGGTACCAAGAGGTTAGGTTAGGGAGCACTTAAATACATATTTTCAGACCAGTTTCAAATTGTTAGCTTACTCGGTATGCTCATGCGCACCACAACTTACTTTTCTTTTAAATGGCAAGCCCAGTTATATTCTGCAGATTCGGGTAAAGCATTTTTTTTAAACATTTATTGTCTAAAAAGTTTTTTTCTATTTTTAAAACTGACCAAGTTAGAGTAAGTCAAAAATTGGATTAATGCATAATTTGTCTCTAATGATATTTTCATTTATAACCACTGGAAATAATAAAATAAGTGCCAAATAAACTTAATACAAAAAATGTTTAAAAAAAAATGCTTTACCCGAATCTGCAGAATAAAACTGGGCTTGCCATTTAAAAAAAAAGTAAGTTGTGGTGCGCATGAGCATACCGAGTAAGCTAACAATTTGAAACTGGTCTGAAAATATGTATTTAAGTGCTCCCTATCACCTCCCGAAAACCCCATTTCAATACAAAGTCACCCATCTGAGATATTCAGTGGTACCTAAAACCGTGATCACACTGTATAATATATATTATAATATGTTCCTATAATACTAATATAAATTGTAATGCAAAATATTAAGTTTTGAGTCAACAAATTAATAGGTCTACCTACCCCCCCCCCCCTCAAAAAAAAAATGTTATTCGGGACGGCCCTGGTAATAACTAATAGCAAAGAAAAAATTTATTTTTCCAGTATTATTACTGGTATAAGATTATTATAGAATTAATGAAAATAATTAATTTTTATAGATCAATAAGTCAGTTTGGATTTTTTGTTGCTTTTTTTCTCCCTAAATTCCCATTAAGAAGATGTCATCACATAGTTAATATTCTGTCTTCGGTCAGATGTTACATAGACAAGACAAATTCAAGTAAAATTGTTTGCTATAGACTAATCTTTGAGTAAAATTGTCTATTTTAAAAATCATAGATAATAATATATTTGACAATATAACATAACAATATAACATAACAATGTCGCAAAACAATAAAATATCA